CATAGAGAAAATCAGCGATTTTAGGTCTGAGAAACCTGGAGCTGCAGTTCACACTGCTGCCTCCATGATTAGAGTCAAACGTCTTAGATGTTAGAGGGTGTGTTCTCTGCTGCAGCATATTTTTACTGAGAGTCAGCAGAAGGGGGCGCTCACGAGTCAGTACCTCATTTAACCACACTTTAAAAACCTGAACAGTTCCTTTAACATTAATGAGCGTTGGACTTCCACAGAGTCACCGAGGAGCCGCAGGACAGGGCTTTATTTATTAATTCATTAATTTAATTATTTGAATGTGTTTGTTGATAATGAATGGTGTGGAGTGTCTGATCTGAAGAAGGCGTTGATTTAAAAAAACAAAACAAAACAAAAAAAATAAAACAAAATCATACAAACTGCATTTACCAGAAGCTACTGTAAACAAATGGTGGAATAAAATTGTGCCAGTTGACAGAGTCTGACTTTAATATTTAACAGTCTCTCTTTTATTAGTTCATCGTAGTTGGTGATTGTACCAGCGAACAGCTAAGAAATGTACGTGTATTAACATAAGAAGTCGACCATTGGTCCCACAGTGGGAACATAACAACAAAATGACTTTTTATTGTCTGATTTCTGACTCTTTTCTCAGTATTCTGCTTAGAACATAAAAAATGTCAATCCCAGAACCATCTACCTACTGTAGGTAAGGCCACACAAATTCCACAATTTTCCGCAGACACGCTAAAATTGTCTAGTAAGGCCACACAAATTCCACAATTTACCTATTTTCCGCAGACACGCTAAAATTGTCTTCTACTGACAAATAAGTTCACGGTTATTAGCTAGCTAACAGACTTAGCATTACTGCAAAGCAAGGCCTGTCTATCGACAGGGGACTGACGTTTTAAAACCCCTCACTCTCCGAAAACGATGTAGGTGGAGGAAACCAGCTGCTAAATAGTCTCATGATGAAAATAAAAACGTTACATTTTAAATGGTAACATTCTGACCTCTTGTGGCTCAACACATAAGTGCAGTCGCGACATTTTACTCTGACGATAGCAGAGAGATCGATCTATCTATCACCGGGACAGACAGATATATAAATAAATAAATATTTAGATATATAATTAGATAGATAAATCTACAGGTTGATTTTAACTAATGTATGTACTACAGTTAGAATGTAGTTTGTGCTGGAGAATCTTAATGCAAAATGATGCGTATTCCGGGGTTTCAATACATTTTGGAAGCCAATTGGTGGCACGAAGGTTAATAAACGCAAGCTTTTTACTTTTAAGTAAGACACAAAACTAAAAATCGTCAAGAAATTAACCCAGTATGAACTGTGAAGTGAATTGTTTTCTGTTGGATTTGATGGGCTGGATTAACCAGGTCTGTTACATCACTGTTGACGTCAATGCTCTCTGATTGGCTGACGTTTTTGGCGCCAAACACCAACCCGGAAATAATAGAAAGAAGCGTTGGGACTAGTTTGGTTTGTTTACCGTGATTTAAAAAAAAGGCTTTCTCTAGTTTTTAACATCTAACATGGAATCCCAGTCGTATTTCCCGGTTCAGCCTGGAGTTGGAGTAGAGGAAAACTTCCTGTCGCTCGACGACATTTTACTGACTCATGAGAGACTTCCAGTTCGGACAGAGTGCACCTTCCCTCGGCTTGGATTCCTGGACAAGTCCAGTGACTCGCAGGACATCACGGAGGTCTATACATAAACGGCAGTTAATGCCGTGTTTTTATCTTCAATGTCACCGTCTGGAGTTCCAGGTGGACATGTTTCGACGTAATTTGTATGATATTATTGTAACGCACGGGTTTAGTCAAAGTATTCGAGTTTTGATAAAACGTATGTAACATAAAAATCGTCACATTTACGAACCCTAAGTCTGAACGTAATACATTTCCCCGCTTTGAGCTTTAAATGTGAGAGTTATCCAATAACACACACACACACATTGTTTAGTTCAAGAGAGTTCAAAATATGTATTTATAATTCTAAACCACGTGATAATTCAATAGAAAAACAACTAAATTAAGTTGTATTTAAACATGTACGTGATGCTGTAGCAGCTATAACACAGATTATGTGTAAATAATATTTAATTAAGACTCAACAATGTGAGTTTTCACAGCTAGATCACATTGTCCTCTGGTTTCAAAAACCCTACTTTTATTTAACATTAATATCGTCATTATTAATATATGTTATATCCACTGATGTCCGTATCTGTTTTTGTTTGTTTTATTTCCTCTTATGATCTTTCTATTGAACCGAACCTTAACTTGTTTTTTTTTTTAATCCTGGTGGATTTGTTATTTCCTCACTGCTGATCCTGGCTCTTTTTTTTTGCGGCCTGTTTTTACTTCCTTCGTGTCAGGGTACAAAAATGGAGCTCCCCCTGTGGCTGTCCAAGGGACTATATGAGAGGAAGAGGAGGGTTCTGTCCGTGGAGATGCCCAAGGTCTACAGAGAAGGCTGGAGGACCGTGTTCACCGCAGACCCCAACGTGGTAGACCTGCACAAGATGGGTCCATACTATTATGGTCTGGGCTCTCAGCTGCTTCACTTCGACAGCCCGGAGAATCCTGACATCGCTCAGGCGCTGCTGCAGGTGAGCAGAGGGAAAAACAACAACAGTGTCTGAAACATTGTCTTTGCAGTTCAACAGACGAAGCTGCTTCTACTGTTTCTCCTCCATTATTTATGATGAAACTACGATGTAAAAACCTGTACAGTGAATAACCTCTGGACAGGAAGTGATGTTTTGTTTTCTTTTTGTTTCAAACATCACTTCGTTTTTAGCAGTTGGACATTAAACACAAGGTACCTAAGTTACTCTGCTCCATCATCACTGCTGTTCTTCCACATTTGTCCAGCAGAGGGCACAGCCAGTAAAGATTTGGTTCACATGATATTAAAGAAGTGACGGGAGAATTCTTGTTAAAAATGTTGCTGCGTAATTTATTTTATTTTAATTTATTTTAACCTTTGTGGTTGACGTCAAACTTTTATTAAAGAGACTGCTGCTCACTTTGGTTCAATGTGGTTTAAAAAGCTGATAATAAACCAGAGGATGGGGAACGTGTGTCAGAGTCAACCTCCTGTTGTACACGTAATTTGTGTTTTGGATTATTGTTTTTGTTTGTGACTTTTACACTGGAAACTGAAAAAAAACAAAATGAACCAGAGGAGCATGTGCAGAATCTTATTCTCTGGTCTCATTTCTCCAGACTTTCATCGGTCGCTTCCGACGGACCATGGACTCCTCTCAGAACGCCTACAACGAGGACACGTCGGCTCTGGTGGAGCGGCTGGACAGTCTGGAAAAACGTCTTTTTAAATCAGGACAAAGTGGACTGAATGGATTCCAGAGCTGGGAGAAAGGTCAGGCTGCTCAGCTGACCGCCTCCAGTCTGGTCCTCAACTACCGCAAGAGAAAGATGATGGATGTCCAGAGCTGACACCTCACCTGTCCTCACCTGCCTCCCCCCACAGGTGTGTTTCCTGCTTCTTCCCTCTCCTGGATTCACGGTAACAGGGTTTTTTCAAACACATGATTCAGTCACAGACAGGAGCGGAGAGGTTGATCCCAACACAGCATTTTTTTAATGATTCGGATTCTTGAAATATTAATAAAATACATAGTGCAGACTCTTCTACTGTGTATTCTGTCCAAACAAAAGTCTGCAGCAACTTTGAAATTTAATGCTTTAGGAAAATCTGTAGTTTGAACCTAATCCAAATGTGAGTGAAAAATGTCCAGCTGGGCCACCGTAGCTCAGACCAGGTCTACGTCTTTGTCCATGTAGGACATTTCAGCTTCAGCAGCAGTGTCCATGTCAGTGTTCTGTCATCCAGAGAAGATACATTTTCAGTTATGTTTTATATTCTATCATTTGGATTAGTCAAAATTAAAAAACAGATGAGAAACACTGACCTCTACCTGCTGATGTTGGTCTGTCTGTTCCAGCAAGATACAGTAAAACAGTTTTGTTTTGTCAAATCAGTGTTCATTAATCATGATAATCACAATTAATCATGATTAATTGAGATTATGATGATGATTACATGATTGATTAATCCTGCTCATTTAACAGCTGGACCTGTGATTAAACATTTTGCATGTGTGCGTGTTCACAGCAGGTCACAGCTGATGAAAACATCGACCGCTGTCTATTGATCCTGTTGTCACTGAGCTGTGAACATGTTAACACTCTGCACCCAAGGGAATAACTAAACTAAAATGTCCGATTTTCTCTATGGACTCTGGTGTTGGGAGAGTCGGGGTTTACAGTGAGATACTTTAAAGTTGGTGTCAAATTCCGCAGACATGTCAGACCAAGGTAACTAAATTCCGATTATACTCGGTGTAAAAAAAAGTTTTTTAGTTTCATTATATCAATGTAACAAAAAATCAAATTAACATTTTTGATGAAATGAAAATAGAAATGATCTTAGTCACTCAGACAGACGTACAGTACATGATGTACAGATTCACACCAGGCCAGTGTTCTACCGTGACATAAACAGTTTGCTTAACATTCCAACCTTCAGTGGCTCCTTACACAGACAGAAACCAGAGGCAGCTGTAGTGTCTGGCACGTCAGAATGCCTGCACCCACTCTGTCGTTTGGCTGTGGTCAGAATCAGAGTATGGCCACCAGGAGGCAAGGGACAAGTAGAGTGAACTGCCATTTATACATTAGTTCATCTGCCTGGAAATACAGTTTTCTCTTTATACTTTGGTCTGAGCTAAAATCACTAATTTTCTCTATGGACTTTGGTGTGAGAGAGTGCAGTGTTTCATTTGAACCACCAGTGCTGAGGGAGCTGTTTAACTCAGCTCTGTAACAAAACCTCTTCATTAATTTCATGTAAATATAGATGGCAATGCATCATGGGAAGTTTCCATGGTGTCATTTTCTAAACATGATGCTTACAGTATTTGTCAGGATGAGCCTAAGACAATGGACTGTTCAGTGTGTGTGTGGTGGAGAGTGGGGGTGGTATGAGAGATGGGAGTCCTGGGGGTGTCTGCCCCCCCCCCTGCCCACTAATGCCCCTCCCTCCTCTGTGCTGTCACTACAGAACCAGAACCGATGAAAGCCCTGAGCTTAGAGCGAAGCAGGTGGAGCAGCAGCAGAAAATAGTCGGTGATGTGATGGTGTTTATATGTGACAGTGGAGCAGCAGCAGCAGTGGCAGCAGCAGATAACATGCCCTAAAACTGTGCGCTGTTGTTTGAGGTTCTGCTCCTTTAAATGTTCTGTAACATAATTAGCGAACAGTTTGTGAAAAGTCAGCTAAAAGATAAAAATGTTGGCCCCAAAAATAGACTAAAAGAGGAGCAGAGCTGTCCTTACAGGAGGACAAACAGTTACTGTTACTGTTAGCCATGCATTCAAATCAAATAATGTCACTGATTTTTGTGTAGGTTGAAAAGGTCTTTGCCAGAGTTATTCTATAAATAAAACAAACAATAACTTAACATTGTGACAGGATAAATTAGCCAGAGATAGATACAGAGACAGATAATGCTAATGCCCTGATGCTAACCCATAGCTAAATATTTGTAATTCAAATTCAAAGGTAGAAAAATATTTACTAAAATAATAGAAATACGTTCTTAAACAAAAACTTGGCCAAAAAAAACACTAGGTGGGGCTGAATGTTACTTGTTGCAGAAAGCTAAAAGTCATGCAAAACATTAGCAGTGGGTGAGGCTACAGTGATGTCACACATGGTAAATAGGTCCCACCACTAGGAGGAGCAAGACCTGGACCAGGACTTGAACCTGGACTGGAATCAATCATCTGAACATGTGACCATGGGTGAACCAGAAACCTGGACCTGAATCTGAACCAGGACCTGAACTAGACCCTGACAGAGAGCGGGAAACTGAACATGAATCCAGCATTTGAATCTGTACCTGCAATGGACCTGGACCTGGACCTGGACCTGGACCTGGACCTAAGCTGGTAGGATCCTATCTCCTGTATTTTATGTGTCTGTTTGTCTGTGTTTGTGTGTGGGAGGGGGGGAGGGGGGGGTTGTGATGGTGTGTCATAGTCACATGACCTGCACCTGTTTTGATGAATTTAAATTTTGCTCGTGTGTGTGTGTGTGTTTTAAAGAATGAACCACTCTATATTGTGTGTGTGTGGGTGTGTAGACAAACACACCCACACACACACACACACACACACACCCTCGGTGCTGCATCATCGCTGAAGCCCCGTGTTCTCTGTTTATCGTCATGAAGGGGAGTGAGATGAAGGGCGAGCGAGACTGATGCCCCGCCCTCTCCCTCTCTTTGTCTGTCTGTATCGCTCGCTCACTCTCTCTCTCTCTCTCTACCCTCCTACTTCCTGTCTCCCTCTCCCTCTCTCCCCCGCTCAGCTTTGTGTCTAGAACATACTCTCTCTCTCTCGCTCAGCTTTGTCCAGCATTTAACCGTCTGACTGACACTGACACACACATACACACACACACACACACGTACACCCTGAGACCCAACCCAAATCCAGGTCAGGAACCAGAACCAGACTGAGGGAGCTCTGATCCATTCCACAGGTACAGTACCACCCTCACCCCCCTCACACTCCTCATCCTCATCCTCACCCCTCATCTTCATCTTCATCTGCTGCTTCTGTCTGAGGACGTGAGCGTGGTCGGAATCACGTCCTCAAACGCCATCGGCAAAAGAACAGGAGGATTAAGATCGTCTGAGTCAGACCAGCGGGGGGCAGTAGACAGGCTGTTGATTCTGATTTTTACCCTAGTACTAATTATCAGTACCAACGCTGCTCAGTAATTGTTGTTATCACCATCTATATTCAAAAATGTGCTGCCACTGTCTTTACCCACCAGTAGGGGGCAGTGTATGGTGTTGTCCCTACTATACTGATTATGAGTACCAAAACTGATGTATAATCTAATTGATTCTGGTCTATGATCGGTTCTGAGTTGGGTGTGTGACTGAAGTGGGAGGAGATGCTGCATTCCTTTACTCACAAGCAGGGGGCACTACACTGGGTTTTCTTTAGCATTTTGATCCCAGCATTGATGATTATACCAGTACTGATTGGTTCTGTTATTGTTCCTGGTGTCTATAATTCGTTTTTGAGAATGTAATGGAGAGATGTTGATTCATTTACTGGCCACCAGGGGGTAGCCTTCTCTTTCTAAACCTTGGGTGGCATGTAAATTTATGGTATCATATTATTAATAATCTCAGCAGTTTTCCTCGAGTCATCGTTTCTTTAACGTCCTCCCGGTGGCGCTAACAGCAGCTTCATGGTTGTCCTTCCTGGACCTTTGAGCTGATGATGGATCTGAGAGGACACGTCCCCACACTGGTGCTAACAGACAGGCCTGAAGTGATGCTAACATAAAACCAGTGCAGGCCAGACATCAAACCACGACACCAACATTTTTTGAGCCGAGTCATGTTTTTGTTTTTGTTTTTTTGTTTAATGACAACACAGTTCATGGCTGAAGTGGTGATTAAACACAGACACAGAGGATCTGGCTAAAGCTAATGCTAACGTTAATCTTCTGTTCTGTCAGATGACACTGCAGCTCACACAGGTCGACTGAATGACCTGGGAGTTTTTACTGCAAGACCTACATTAGTACCAGGACTGTTTTTCAAAGGGTTCCTGAGTACAGGCACAGTGTGGGGGTGGTTTTATAGAACTGTTGTCTGTGAATGATGGACGCTGATCAGAAAATGACTTTTGGAAAGTACTCACACTGACCTGGGAGTCCAGGTACTTTTGGTACTGTTTGGTTCTGTTGAGGCCATGTGCGAGCCATGGAGGAACTGATTCATGGTGTTTTAAAGGGAACAAAAAGAAGGACCTTGGACTATAGTTTCTTAAAAATGGTTCCTGGTACCGATGGGTTTGTGGTGTAGTACAGTACAGGAGTGTGAGAAGTGTCGTCAAAACTAGAGGCTCAGGAAACTGAGGCAACAGAAGCTTTTAAGCTTTTTGATTAAATCAACAGTTCATTAGTGAATGAAGCCCAGAGTCGGTTCATCATCGTCTGAGGGTGAGAGGGTGACAGAGTTATGACTTCATAAAACTGATTGAACACTGCTGCTGCTGCCACTGCTGCTGCTACTGTTGCTGCTGCCACTGTTGCTGCTGTTGACGCCAACCCCTGAGACCAGGAGGCTGTGATCACTGAGCTAGCAAGAGTTTAACTGGTTGACAGGGCTAAATGTAATTCAGGGCGTTGGGCTCCATCTGCTGGACTGTTGTTGTCATGAAAAATCACCTGTTGAGGTAAAAAAAAGTGACTTAAATCAAGTCCACTTCACCAAGAACTTGAAAATATAATAAAATCTGAAACAATCACAGTCAGTGTTTACAATGACTCATCACCTGGTGGTGTCAAACCTCTGGTCTAGGGGCAGCTGACAAAGAAAACCATCCTCAAAATTGGCTGTTTTTGCTGCTAGCGTTATTAGCTGTTATTTTGATTTAGCGTTTCTAAAGTGTCACTCTCTAACGTCTGACTGTTGTTTACAGTTGTAACAGTGGTTGATGTGTCGTTGTTAGCGTTAACCGCTCTGAGCTAACAGCTGATATTTTTGATCTAATGATACTGGTGTGGATTTTGTCAGAAAACCTTCGAACAACGGTCACTCCGCTCTGCTGAGCGCCTCCTCCTGGACATCTGGGTCAGCTGTGGGAGCAGGAAGGAGTCCAGAGAAACCTGTCCAGTCCTGACAGAGTACTTCTGTGGCGCCGTCTGCCATCGCTGGCGCCATAACCTGTGGCCCCCGTATGTGGTCCTTCTGTCCAATCACAGCCTTTGTACCAGGTTGGCTCTGAGTTCTTCTCTGATTTGATTCAGCTGCTGGACATAATCCTCTGACTGTGCCATTCAACGTCAGCCAAACAAACCAGTAGCATGTGTGGAGGTGTATGATGGGTAACTGTTGATGGTACACGCTAGAGGGAGTGGGCGGGGCCATCAGGTTCAAGTGGAGTTCCCTTGGTGAACATCTCTTCTTCAGTTTGAAAGTGAAGATCATATTAAGAGGGAAATAGAAGATAAAACAGGACTTCAGGAGGGAATTTTTTTTCCTTATCACCGTTTCTTATAATCCTGGTGACCCTGGTCTTGGACTTGAAGCTAAAGCAGTAGATGTCAAAATAATCCTACGAACCATTTCATGTTTTTTGGTTCTTGGTATGTTAGCCGTGTTAGCAGATGGTTTCGGTTTCTGGTCTTTTCTTGGTCTCGTTCCCCAAATATCTTGGTCCTGAACGACGGTCTTGGTTCTACTTCAGTCCAGTCCTGCTTTCCTTTGAACTGAAGTCAGAACCTGGTTTTTCTTTTCTGGTTTCAGGACATGTTGGAACTGTTTTCATACAACAGATGAACTGATTGGTAGGATCTTTACTGGACTTTCAACCCAGTGGGAACATGAAGAGACACTGGAACTTTGCATCATTTATTTTTTAGAAATTGGTTCCAATGTTCCTGGAACCTCATCCACAGTTCTTTGGAACTGTTTTGGTTTTGTCTCTGGGTCTCTGATGACCTTTGGACTCTCTGATGACCTTTGGTCTCTCTGAGTTTTGTCACACTTTCCAGGCATTGATTCCTGTCTGTTTTATTCCTCTTCCACATGACTGTGTCATCGATTTGTGTTCGGACAGGAAGTTCGTCTTTGCTGCCCCGCAGCTACTTAAAATACTGACTGTTATCGCAGCCAATACTGCTGTGGTACTGTACTGACTCCAGCAAACAAAAGAACTACATGACAGGAACATTAGACTGGACAGTTGTTTACTATCATTATATTGTGTTGTTACTGGTGTTTGTCGTTGGTATTTGTTTTAGAAATGCACCATAAAAACAATTTATCCAGAAAAAGGAGCATCAGACTGGAACTATCACTGTCAAGAAACCAGGACTAGTTCATTTATTACATTTAAAAAGTACTGTGTTACATCCATTCAACTCTTCGGTGAAACAACTGGGAATTTTAGCCACTTAATTAAAGACTCCACCTCTAAAATCTGTGTCAGCTGAAGACGGTGACGTCACTGAAGTCTTTATCCCAGTGACAGACTTTTCCAACAAGAGGTTTGGAATCCACGCTCTCTTCCACATAAGGTTTGGTTTGTGTGTTTAAATCATCGTTTTTCTCCATGAGGTTTGGTGTGGGGGAGAGAGAGAGCAGATTGCAAAAGGCTGAAGGAGAGAGTGACGTGTGAAATGGTGAGCTGTGTGAGCAGAGCATCAATGACAGCGTGCTGCTGTTAAAACACCGTCAGATGATTGAACGTCCATCTCTGTCACACCTTAAAAATGAAAAACAACAACTGTTGCACAAAAGTGACGACGAGGTTTCCACAGACCAAACCATGGTGGAAATGAGCTCTGACATGTATTTGTCTGTGTGTTTTCACAATATATTGTACTCTAGTGCAGTCAGAGAGTGGAACAGTACAGTGAAGGTGAACCAGGCTCCATGAGACAGAGCTGTGTTGTCATGGCAACAACAGGATCTGAGCAGATTTGTACAGAGAAAATATAGAAGAAGAAGAGAGGGGTAGTCTTTGTTTTCATTCTGAACTGTCATTCATCCACACACACACACGTATGCATATATGTGTATGTAAATATATATGTAAATGTATGCATTTATGTGTCTATATATATATGTATATATATATAAACACTTTCCACTTTCCTTTCGTGCTCTGACCTTATGACTGACCGACCGACTGACGTGTGTGATGTTGTTGTTGTGATTCCAGGTTTTTGAACGTCATGGCGGGGATTAAGGAGCAGCAGTTCACGGAGGAGAAGCCACTGCTGCCTGAACAAAGAGGAGCAGATTCAGACATGGTGAGTTCACCTCACTTCCTGTCTAGGTTTCAGGTCAGTTTAAGGCAGGGGTCTCAAACTCGTTTTCACCAGGGGCCACATAGGTAGTACAGTTCTGCTTGAAGGGCCGGTTGAAAATAGAAGACTATATAGATTAAGGGTCCCCAACTCCTGGTCCGCGGACCAGTACCAGTACCTGCTGCTGAATCCAAATTGAACCAATGTCACGCCTTCCTTCACCAAACATTCTTGTTGATGTACCATGTTCTTTTTCTGACTAGCGAAATAAATTTAGATGCATTACTGCCACCTACTGGGCTGGAGTACTGGCCTCATTCTTTTTAAAGCAGTGATTTGTCATTAAATGTTCCTCAAAATGAAGTAAAAACATTTTTTACTTTTTTCCTGCTTCCGTTTAAATTTTAGTTTTCTTTTGTATGTTTGTTTGTTTTTGGGGTCTCTTCTGATTGCTCGTCGTCTTGCTCTTTTTTGACATCACAGCAGGATAAGGCAGACGGGGTGTCCGAGGATCCACAGCCCCAACCCTCCAGTCCTGCCCCTTCTAACCAACCTCCCCCCTCTTCCCCCAGTCGCCCCGCCCACCGCTGGCATGTCATGGCGCGGCACTGGCTCCGCCAGACGCGCCGTCGCACCGGAGGAACCATCCCGGTAACTGAGAGAGAAAATCTTCCACTTTTTATTATTTTTATTATTATTGTTCTTTATCATTAATCCCAACAGTCGTTCAGATCCTGACGTTTCTCCTCTACTGACGACTGTTTTTATCAATGTATCACACATATATATGTATATAGACAGAGTAGTAAATATACCATTGTCTATATATATATATATATATGTTTGTGTGTCTGTGTGTGTGTGTTGATAAGTGGGCTCTCTGTGGTTCGCATGAATGACGTCACTCGTCCTCCTTCACTGTCTGACTGTGTCTCTTTATCCACATCACCACCATCATCAGCGATAGCGGCAGGGAAACAGCGCCACCTGCTGCTCACACCACCATTGACATCCTGATCCAGCCTGAAATGTTCACAGCACTTGCTGTTGTGGAATTAAATACTTTTAAATATTTATTAATAATAATAATAAATATTTAATACTTATTTAAAACGTTTAAACTTTTATTCTATCTTTATATTTCTTTTTGGTGTAGATTTCACAGGTTAACCTGGTTAGCCTTCAATAACTTTGTTAGAATAAGTGTGATTAATATCCATGTATTTTTCCATGATTCTCTGTGGAGAAGCTTCTAGAAGATTCTTCACTTCACTGATTCATTCTACAGCAGAGTGTGTGCTTTTATTTTTTCCCAGCAGCCTTTGTCTCCCTCTCTCTCTCTCTCTCTTTCTCTTCACCATGTTTAATCCTTAACCTCTTCATCCTTCATCAGCACCACCTGCTGGTCATCCTGGTAATGTTCTTTTTGTGACTGTCCTGTGTTTGTGTTTTAGCAGGAGACGTGTGAACAGCTGCTGCCTGTCGGAGACTGGAAGGTAAGAGGCCCTGTGTGTGTGCTAGAGCCGTACACCCCCAAAAACACCTTCAGTCCCCCCCCCCCCCCGCCCCTTCAAAGATTAAAAAACATCTTCATCAGTCGCTCATCTTCTGAGGTCTGATCCTGACTCTCCTTCATTTCACTACTTTCACTCACTCTGACTGCGAGAGCCTAAATCATCGATTTTCTCTATGAGGTTTGGTGTGGGGGAGTGAGTGGGTGACACAGTGTTAGGCTGGGAAGTGGGTCATGATGCTGAGTGAAGCTGCATCACAACAAACAGAGAAGATGGAGAAAACACATCAGAGCAGGGGGGTGAGAGAGAGAGAGAGAGAGATGTCCAATCAGGAGCTTATGTGCAGCTGGCCCCGCCCCATCTGTGATAGCGATAAAAAGGAGGAGGAGGAGGAGGAAGAGTCAGGAGCCTCATCATCTCAGAGTGAGGAGAGAGACCGCAGCAGCAGCAGCAGCAGCAGCAGCAGTCCTAGTCCTTCACTCTGAAGCGAGAGGTCTGACTGCACCTCCTCCTCATCCTCCTCCTCCTCCTCCTCTCCTTCATCGTCTTCAGCTCCTTCCTCCTCAGTGAACCATGCCTGAGTGCTGGGACGGGGTGAGTGTTTGTCCCTCGTTGTTCTTACAGAACAGACTGAACCGGTCTGAACTGGTCCGTCTACAGGTCCAGGAGACACTAGTCCAGGACTGGTT